CAGGCTGCTGGTGGTGGTGGTGGTGGGGCTTGCTTTCTGCAGATGGCTGCAGTTCCACTGCTGAGTGCACGCAGAGACCTGACGGAGACAGGTTTAATACTAGGCCATTCAAATTCATCACTGCCTCCTCCTCATTTATCTTCCTGAAAGGGACCTGCTGGTAAATGTCTTAGCAGCCTAGATATAATGAAGCCAGATGTTCTTTTAAACCAAGTATTAAGCCCATTACAGATAGCTAGCAGTCCGCGTGCCAACCTTTCCCCACCACAGCTCCGACGCTCCCTGTTAAGTTATGATTGTGTCAGGCGGGGAGGCAGGCGCAGTTATAAAATCGGTTGAATCCCTTGATCTGGAAGCTCTCATGTTGACATCAATAACACTAAAGGTGAAAGCACCACGCTCGGCTGCGCTCTTATTTTCTCCTCCGACTCCGGGAGGCTCTCGCAACAACAAAACAAGCCCCAGGACCAGAGCAGCTTTGCGGGTTGATCAGGTTTAAAAAAAAAAAAAAGCACATCAGAGAGTCGTTTTCCAGGTTTAGGAGCGGTAGGGAAGACAAATAACCAGGAGAGCAGACTCTCCCCGGCCTCTGCGTGGGAGGAGGAGAGATGGGCGCCTGCAGCCCGCGCGGGGAGACCTGCGCCAGGCTCGGGCGGTGTTTTAAAGTCTATCTCATCCTTTTACTTCAGCATATGATTATTTTGTGGAGTTAAAAGCTGGAGGACTTCATGTTGATGCTTTTTGAAGAATCTTTAATGCCTCCATTTAAAACTGTTACCTTAAGAAGTTAATTGCTTAATGCTTGTCACTTCTCTGTTTAGGATTGCAGTTAGTTGTCTAACCTGTTCACTGTCCTCAAACCACGCTATTGAGCATAATCTGAAGGGCAGGTTGATTCTGTTTAAGTTGTTACCTGTGATATGTCAAATGATAGAGTTAGTTTCATTTTGTATGAGGAAGATGAGGATGAGTGTTGCAAACATGATTTTACTTGGCACAGGAATGAATTTGAAAAATAATTATGATTAAAGGTTTATCTTTTAAAGAGAGGTCGTGCTATTTGGAACCTTTATGTATTAGTTGCCTGGCAACTGTTCATTCATGCTTCTGCTTATCATCATTCATTATAAGCATCTTTGCTCTACAGTAAGAGCAATTAAGTGGTAACAACTTATTTCTGTGATGAATTAAAATTGACAGAAACTACAGAAATAAGTAAAACTACGGAAATAAATTTTTCTATCAACTGAAACTGTTGGTGCAATGTTTCTTATTAACAGCTGGTTTATGCTAGCTGAGGACTATTTGTGCGTTAGCGGTGATCGTAATGGTCCTGACATACCTTTTGAGGTATACGAGAACATAATTGACTTAGGGGATTGTTCAGATATTTTTGTCATACTTAAAATCTCCTTTTTTCTTAATTTCAAGATCAAGGCTTCAAGGTGTGAGGAAACTTGTATCCCATTGATTTCAGTGCTTAGCATTTGGCAGTCTGATCTCATAATTCTGTAGAATATTCAAATCACTTGATGCTTTCTTTCTGTAGAACAATAGCAGTCTTTATTACACTGCATGAAAATATATTCATAAT